TATGTTTATATGGGTCATAGTGTACAAGAACACCACTTGAAATCAGTAATTTCTTAGCGTTTTTAAATGATTGCTCTTGTGGCTGCGACAATGCCACGACACACCCTTACGTAGTAATTTATATAAGGGCGCCAACACTGAGGACAAATTCTTGAGGAATTTTCCATAAAAATTGATTCCACCTAAGAAAGACTTCAATGTGTGGACGTCAGTTGGTCTTGGTGCATCCACAAAAGCCCTAACCTTATCCTTAGAAGGATGGATACCCGTTGAATCTATCTCATGACCCAAATAGCTTACACTTGGTTTAAGAAAATAACATTTATCAAACTTAATCTTAAGACCCTTATCATGCAATCTTTTAAAACTTTCTCAAGGTTTTCTTTGTGCTCTTGATCAGAGACACCTGTCATGAGTATATCATCTATATATACAGTAACATGTGGTATATCTCTTAATAAATTAGACATATGTCGTTGAAAAATTCCAGGAGCCATTTTCACTCCAAAAGGAACTCTATTATACATGAACAAACCACGATGAGTGTTGACGACACAATATTTCTTGGAGTCATCTTCGAGCAGCATTTGCTGATAGGCATTACTCAAATCCAATTTTGTAAAGGTTTTACCACCAATCAAATTTGCAAGTAAGCTATCAATCTTGGGTAATGGGAATGTGTCAGATTCAGGTACAGGATTAATAGTAACTTTATAATCCCCACAAATGCGAACACCCCCAGATGGTTTTGACACTACCACAATAGGTGTTGCCCACTCAGAATTCTGTGCTGATGTTATTGTCGTATAATATGTTGCAAATATTCCTAGTTGTATTGCTTATTAAACATGGAATAATATTACAGTTGTATTATGCGTGGTTGTCCTTAGCAACATGTTCCAAGTGATCTGCGCCCCACGACTTCACTACAATGATACGATAATGCTAAAAAGTCTATGAGCGATGGCTATATATTTGCTGCAGGTGATTGCTTTCAAAACATGGTGAATTGAAGTGGTGTCCATTCTAACTAGGCGTTAGGTCCGAGTGATTTGATTACTAAGCTTTGAGTAACGGTCTGTCGCAGTATTCACTCGACGGTGAGTCTTTTGATAGGTCGAACGAACCTCGCAAGCTTGAAAAATGTGATCTCAGCTGGGCGCTCTCTGGACCTGATTGAGTGTTAGTAAATATTTATAATTAGAAAACAAATAAACAACAACAAATGCCGATCATTTCCCATATATATCATAATGTATTTTTTCACTAATTTGCCTTATGATATTTAGAAAATCTTAATTTATTTAATCGACGAATATCCCAGATGGTACATTTGAAGTATATATGAACCAACACATACAGTTAGGTTCTTGAGGGTATAAGATAAATTAGATGTTTTTAATATTGAAACGTTGAACAAAACAAAAGTTTGATGTTGCCC